TCCAGGAAGTACCTGCTCATATTTTAAGGTTATGTGAGCTGCACGCAATGTTCCGTCGAAGTCGGCGGACTTAATCTCTTGTTACGCTTTCTATATTCGCACGCTTTCCATCAATACTCTTATTCATTGGCGGTTGCGGCATGTGACGTCCCTGGTACTGCTAATTGGGGTTCTTTTAGGGCTTCAGCAGCTGAATATGGAAAGCATTGTGAAGCTTCCACGCAGTGCGCAAGCACAATGTTACTGGTGTCACCATGGTCTCAATGCGTAAGGGACCACTCTCTGGGTGCTACTACACGTCGCAACATAGCGAGACTACGAGCTGCACTCGCTAAACTTTTCCATTGCCTTCCTCCAGGGCAACCAGCACGAGGAGATCTGGCTGCGCCGTCCTCCTGGCTTCACTGGCACTTTCCTGCATGTGAACTTCTAGAGCTTGAGACGACCAGCCTACGGTCTCCGCCGGGCACCTTGTGAGTGGCACGACACTCTCCGCTCCACTCTAGCTGACCTCAAGTTCAATCCTTCTTCCGCTAGCCCGTCACTTCTCGTTCGTTCACGGTCCATTCCTTTCTTCGTCATCGTCTCCGTCGACCACTTGGTCTTTGCTATCGTAGACACTGAGGTCAAAACTATTAAAGAGACACACCTACACTGACCTTGGTGAGCTTGATGTTATCTTGGCTTGCAGATAACCAAGGACAGAGCAGCACGCACCATCACTCTGACTCAGTCAGACATGGTACAGAAGGTCCCTCAGCGGTTCGAGCTTCACTTCTCCTCCATACAGCCCACTCCTCTTGCTGTTGACCACGTGCCTGTTGAGCCCAGTGGTCGCTACGCAGAGCTTGTGGGTTGCCTCATGTTCCTGATGACGTGCACTTGTCTGGACCTCGCTTATCCTCTCAATGTCCTGGTTCGCTTTGATATGACTGGGAGACACCGTCTTGTTCACTAGACAACTGCTAAGAGGGTAGCGAAGTACCGAAGGACTACATCGGGCAAGGGGCTTGTGCTTGGAGGGAGACAGGTAGTGCTCCTTACTGGACACTGCGACTCGTCATGGGCAGACGACGAGGGGACCAGCAGGTCGACTCAATGATACTGTTTCAGCTTGGTGTTAGGGACTGTGTCGTGGAGGTCTGCGCGGTCGTCGTCGTCGTCTGTGGCTTCGTCCAGTGCTGTGGCCGAGATATAAGCTGGTGTTATGGATGCTCATGAGGTCTGTTGGCTGACTATCTTTCTCACTGGCCGATGTGAGCGGCCTAGTTTTGCACCGATCTTGTACTCTGACAACAAGGTCATGATCCTCCTGTGTCTAGAGCCTCGGCTGCAGAGCAGAGTGAATCACATGGATCTACGGTACTTCCTGCTGCGAGAGCTGTAGCGACGCAGCTAGACACGCTTGGTCTTTGTGGCCTCAGTGGCCAACACTGCGGACATCTTCACCAAGGCCCTCCCGCACGGTGACCACTACAGGTTGTGTTCGGGAATTTGTCTTGTTAAGACCGACCCTCGTTTGTTGTAGACTTGCTTCTTGTTTCTCTCTGCTTCTTTTGCTGTTTATATAAGGTATGTATTTATGAACTCTGGATTGTGGCCGTTTGTCTCGAAGGTTGGCTAGTCATACCACCCTGATTTGCATCCCTTGTGTTGTTGTTGGTGTTTTTGATTGGTCTTGTCACCGTTTTTTTCCCGTACTTGTTAATGCCCCTCACTTAGCCTATAGGGGGTTGCTTCAAACTATAATTATGCTTACCTTAGATTGTTCTGCTACAGTAAGGTGCATTGTATAGGATACAACTTTTTTGGGTTGCCTTCTTGTATCTCATGTTTTCTAGTTCGAACCAACATTTAGAAAGACGTGTGTATCTTCATTTTTTCAACCATTGTTATCAATCTTAGGATTCTCTAAGATATATTGTTACCATTGAGAGAGTTATTCAATAGTAAAATTTGGTACATATTGTAAACAGGGCATAAAAACAAGGAACCAGACATATTCTGTCCGATAAAAAGTAGCCCCATAAAAATTGTTTTTCTCTAAGGAAGACTTATGTACACCAGGGAACGAGAGTTTGGGAGGTTTATCGAACCAACAGCTTCACCACTCCGCGACACTGGAGGGGTGCTGCTCACAGGAGGCCCAGCGTGTAAGGCGGTTTGAGACCACGCCTTGGCTGCCATGGCTGCTGCTACGGCGACGTCTGCCGCGCCCTTTCTGACTGCCCATCTTCGGCACTGAATGCGCGCGAGTGGCTGTGTTGAGACGTGACGCGGTCGGCCTTGCACTGCCCAACTCCCTTGAGTAATGTCGCCATTCGTCGTCGTCGCTCTCGCCTTCCTTTAGGAACGACTGTAACATGGTAACAAACTGTTCGCACCGAATCGCATTGAGCTCGCGCTGTGCGTCCAGAAACGAGATCCGACCTTCCAGCGCGAGCAGATCGAGATCCGCGCGGCTGTCGTGCAGGCGTCGTGAGGAGGGCATGTCATCGTTCTGAGACATGGCCAGGACAGCAGGTGATTGCTGAGAAGACATGGCACGCTGAGAGTCGACCATCACGTCGTTACGGCCCCCCATGTTTAGAATGATTCTGTTGGAGCTCTGAGTGTGCTTCGTGTATCTTGAAAACAGTCGAGCGACGATTCAAGCTTATCGTACTGTGAGACACTGAAATGCTTGTCGAAGAAATATATTTATTCCCATCTGGACCAGCTCCTCATTCGGACGATGATGGACACGTCGAGCTCGCAATTGCATCCAAGGTATCCTGAGTATGCACGGCGTGCACGTAGTAGCACACTGTTGCAAGTAAATCCCGCTTCGACGCTGGCGGAAAATCGCAGATTGCGGCGCAATGAGGCTGACGGTTCGACTTAAACTTCGAGAAGGTCGGACCTCAGGCTAGGAGCAAGGACAAAATCCCATGAAGCTGCGTAGGAACATCATTGTACGTATCGGTACATTATGAGCCTCAAACGTCGGATCCTCTACGTCAGCACCAACCGGTAACCGTCAGCAAGAGCTCTGAAGGCGTGAATGTTAGGTTTCACGGAACTGGTGTGAGTTTCGGAACTCTGCATAAAACTTGCTTATGGTTTCGGTGGTCGCGAATCTCTGCTTGTGGTAGAAGGAACCAGTTTCGAAGCACTCAACCCAGGAATTGACACCCATGGTTCAAAAGTAGGAAACCCGGCAGTACTGTTCCCAGGGAATCCGCGACCGCACTCGTCCATGATCTCTCCACGTGATGCGCCATACAGTATCAAATTCTTCGTCGACCGTCTCCCACGCTATAGCGAGTACCCCATTGCCCCCCTCGCCTTGTCAAAAGCGGATGAAGAGAAACGGAGTGTTGTTCGGGACGGGTTTGCGTTGCGCATCGCGGATAATGGTGTCGGATGGCGAAAGGGGAACGAATTACGTGTATCAAGTTCTTGACACGTCGTTGATATTTACAAACACGTGTAGTCCCACCCCGTTTTATATCTACGCACTCTGTCTAGCCTGGCATCGTAAAGAAGACTCTTCCTAAAAAGTCGTTACAGCAAGGCAGTCTAAAGGAACGAAATTCACCGCTCTACTGATATTCACTGTATCAGTCACGACTTCCTTCCATGTCTCACTCATTACTTCACCACCGAGGCAGACTCAATCACAGTCATGTGAGAGGGGCGGCTCGTATCAGTGACTTGAGGGAGGCGCTTTCTTGGGTCTCAACTGAACCCCCGTCTTCCCCGCCAACCAGAACACCCTCGGCAGCACTGCTGGCGCTTGGGAGGAGCAACAAACCAACCCACTCAAGCCGACAGCTGCGAATTGGATCCGATCGCCACTTCACAGAGCAGCTGCCCCCATATCGTGAGTGCCATAGGCGACCTCGAGGGGGATCCGCCGAGGAAGAGCAACCAGGCCACATTCCCCGTCCATTGGGGATGATACGATTTGAGTGTATCGAGTGTATTATGGACATCACCCTAAAAGTCATCCCAAATATAATACCTTAGATTGGTTATGATAAACCTTTGCTATGGTTCTGGTATCTAACGACTCACCCCCAACAAGGGTTCCAATGATTTAAACGGGATTACCTTGATTTATTTTGAAGACATGTTCATGAAACTTTAACTTGATGCCAAACTCGCACCTCCACTCTTGAATACTGCAATCATCTGTAGGGGTACTACCGGACTCCAAGGAAGTTGTGTTAGTTTGCGCAACATTCATTATAATCATAGACGGAGTTACCGTGCTTGAGCTTCACAAAAGTCATTACTGTAGACAGGAATGTACATTGCATCGTCAGTCTTATCATCTGATGCTGGTACCATAACGTAACCCCCCAATGACCCATAAGGATAGCATAGTAGTACTGTAGTACTCTTGACTTGCACTGGGTACCCGTAGTCCCTTATTGGTCTTTCTTTCGCAGGTTGGATGGAGGAATGAGTGGAGGAAGCAAGACGGAGAGCAGGAGAGGCAGGATGGAGCCAAAGAAGTAGAGGGAACGCCACACTCTGAATGTGAGGTCCGCCCGCAGCAGCTGCATGCAAGGATAGCAATGGGCAAGAGGCAGACACAGGCGGTATTGTAACTGGCTAGTTCATCCTAACCCGGCACATTATGATGGTCATCAATCGGGAAAAAAAAACACACAAAAAAACATTGCACAGTGTGCAGCACAGCTAGCAGGAGGATGAAGAGGCAGCTGCTGCCAAGGAGGACACTAGGGCAACGCACCCAGGCCACAACGTCCACCAGGCAATGCCGTGCCAGCAAGCTCCACACGCTGCCAGCATGTCAGCACGCACCCATACATTTGCTACGCTCAAGAACCCCTATGATTTCGCGAAGGAGCCAAAGCAGTGACTGTATGTTAGCAGCACAGCACTCCGAATGAGCACAGGCAAGCCGCACGTGTGTGCCTAGCATGCCTGCCTAGCAAGACGTGAAGAGCGCATGAGACGATGCTGGGAGTTGGAATGGCAGCACTCAC